CGTTCTCTCGGAACTTGGTGGGTGTTGGATACCTTCAGGACCGGGGGATCACAGTCACTTTTCCTGCGCACGGGAGGACTGCGATCTGTACTGACTCTTCCACCGGGGCAGTTCTTGCCACGTTCACCAGAGAGCCCCACTAAGGTCTCTTCGTCCTGCACACTCCGCCCCCGCAGGTAGCTGCGTCTAGTCGGGTTGCTTCGTCCCCCCCGGTAGCAGAGTCCGGTCAGGTGGCTGTGTCCAGTCCGGTCGCTGTGTCCAGTCCAGTCGCTGCGTCTTGCTCCTGTCGCTCTCTCGCCCACCGCACCGTCCTGTGGCACCACCGTCTTGGCCACCCGTCGATCCCTCGCCTTCGTGGCATGCTCAGTCAGGGACTAGTCACAGGTCTCCCACGCACCTTCCAGTCGCTCCCTCCCTCGCTTGCCCCTCCTTGCTCTCCGTGCGTCGCCGGTCGCTTACGCGCCACTCCCCACTCCTCCTCCCTTCGTCCGGCCACCGCTCCCTTCGAGACTCTCCACTTGGACGTCTGGGGCCCTGCCCCGACGCAGGGGTCTGGGAGGGAGCGTTACTTTCTGGTGGTCGTCGACGACTTCTCCAGGTACACCACCGTGTTCCCTCTTGCGAAGAAGTCCGAGGTGACTGCTACGCTGATCAGGTGGCTTCTAGCCACTGAGGGCACTCGTGGTCGTCGAGTCAGTTGTCTTCACTCCGACCGTGGGGGCGAGTTTCGCTCCGGCATTCTCGGCGGATTCTGCGGCGAACAGGGCATCACCCAGTCCTGGACGCTGCCAGAGTCCCCACAGCAGAATGGGGTTGCTGAGCGCCGCATAGGCTTGGTCATGGACATCGCCCGCACGTCCATGATCCATGCCCGTGCGCCCCATTTTCTGTGGCCTCACGCGGTTCGCTACGCCGCTCACCAACTGAACCTCCAGCTGCGTGTCTCGCGGCCCGAGGCTTCACCGACCAGTCTTTGGACTGGTTCCCCTGGTGTTGGGTCGGCCTTTCGAGTCTGGGGCTGCCTTGCACTTGTTTGCGACACCTCCGCGGACAAGCTCTCGGCACGCGCCGTCCCCTGTGTCTTCCTTGGTTTCCCAGTGGACTCTGCCGACTGGTCCTTTTACCACCCGCCCCTCCACCAGTTCCTAGACTCCCGTGACGTCCGGTTTGACGAGTCTGTGTCCTACTACACCCGGTACCCCTGTCGAGGTCTCCCGGTACCCCCTCCCCCCCTGTTCCTAGCACCCTCTCCTCCTCCTGCTCCTGCTCCTCCGGTACCCCCGCCCCCCCCTGGTCCTGCCCCGTCTGGTGTGTCTCACGCTACCCCTCTACCCTCGGTCGCGCGTCCGGTAGCGTCTCCCTCCCCGCAGTCCTCCTCACAGTCCCCTCAGCAGCCTTCGGCACTTCCGCGACAGGTTACTGTGGACTCGGTTGGTGTTGGAGCTGGAGGTGCAGCCGCTGGCGGTGCTCGGTCTGGGGGTGCTCGGTCGCGGGGTGCTGGAGCTGGAGGTGCTGGCGCAGGTGGCGCTGGCTCTGGGGGTGCTGGAGCTGGAGGTGCTGGCACTGGAGGTGCTAGTTCTGGGGGTGCTGGAGTTGGCGGTGCTGGCACTGGCGGTGCTAGTTCTGGGGGTGCTGGAGTTGGAGGTCCTGGCACTGGAGGTGCTGGTTCTGGGGGTGCTGAGTCTGAGGAGACTGACGCTGGAGACCCTGGTTCTGCAGAGTCCACTCCGCCTCCCCACCGCCACGACACGCGTCTCCAGGCTGCCCGTCGGCGTGAGCGTGAGGAGCAGGAGCGGTTGGAGAGGGAGCGGCAGGAGCTGCGGGTGCTGGACCTTCTGGAGCAGCAGCGGCAGCAGCAGCAGCAGCCGCAGCCGCCACCGCAGCTTCCTCTGGAGCGGCAGTTGTTCCCACCTGTGAGTGGCCTGCGGGCCCTTGGCCTTTCCTCCTCTCCTCCTGTCCGCTCCCAGTCTCCTCCTGTGTTTGTTCCTCCGTTGCCTCCTCCTGACGACCGTCCGGCGGTCTGGTCTTCTCCTCCTCCTCGGTCTCCTCCTCACTCTTTCCGTCACGACTTGATCACTCGTTGTCCTCCGCGTGCTCGTCACTCGTCCCCTGTTACTGACCTCCACACTGCCCTCTTTTGTTCGTCCAGTCGTCGTTCTTGTTCTCCTGTGTCCGTTCTCCCGTCTCCTCCTCCGTCCTCTCTCCCAGCCCTCCCCACTCCTATCACTGACTACTACCGCACTGTTCGTCCTGTTGCCGCACGTGTCCTCGCCACTCTTGTCACTGACTCTCGTTTCCCTCCGTCGTCTGCCTCGGCTCTTACTGCCGCTGTCGCTGAGTTTGCTGCCGCCAGCCGCCTTGACTACGCCACCCGGGTGGTGCCAGCTCCTCCCTACCGTACTCTGTCCGTCGGGGGTGGGTTTGCCCTTGGCTGTGACGTCCTAGAGGACAGAGAGTCTGAGCTGGAGTACTGGGCAGCCGCTTCTCCCTCTGTGTGTGCCATGCTGCTCTCCCCTGAGGGAGACCCCGACGCCCTTGACATACCGACTCCTCGCACTTACCGCGAGGCAGTGTCAGGGGCGTGGGCCTCTCAGTGGAAAGCGGCTATGGACTCAGAGTTGGCGTCTTGGAGATCCACAGGCACCTACGTCGACGCAGTTCCCCCTCCCAGGGCGAACGTAGTCGATGGCATGTGGCTCTTCAAGGTGAAGCGGCCGCCTGGAGCACCGCCGGTGTTCAAGGCGCGCTACGTGGCTAGGGGTTTCAGTCAGCGTGAGGGAGTTGACTTCTTCCAGACCTTCGCCCCGACCCCGAAGATGACTACTCTTCGGGTGTTACTCCACATAGCAGCGCAGCGAGACTACGAGCTGCACTCCCTCGACTTCTCCACTGCGTTCCTCCAGGGCCGACTGCACGAGGAGATCTGGCTGCGCCGTCCTCCTGGCTTCACTGACACCTTCCCACCTGGGACCCAGTGGAGCCTGAGGCGACCAGTCTACGGTCTCCGCCAGTCGCCCCGTGAGTGGCACGACACTCTTCGCTCCACGCTTCGTGACCTTGGGTTCAGCCCGTCCTCCGCCGACCCGTCGCTGTTTGTTCGAGCAGGTTCTACTCCTTTCTTTATCCTTGTCTACGTCGACGACTTGGTGTTTGCTACAGCTGACAGGGCAGCCCTGGCTCAGGTGAAGTCCGAACTGCAGAAGAGACACAAGTGCACTGACCTGGGTGAGCTGCAGCGCTACCTTGGCCTGCAGATCTCCCGGGACAGAGCCGCTCGCACCATCACACTGACGCAGTCACACATGGTGCAGCAGGTCCTTCGGCGGTTCGACTTCCAGTTCTCCACCACACAGCCCACTCCTCTTGCTGTTGACCACAGACTCACTGGCCCCTTTCCTAACGAGCCCTTCGAGTCCAGTGGACCCTACGCAGAGCTGGTGGGCTGCCTCATGTACCTGATGACTTGTACTCGACCGGACCTCGCCTTTCCCCTCAGCATCCTTTCTCGCTTTGTTGCGACTGGGAGACACCGCCCTGTCCACTCGACAGCTGCTATGAGGGTGGCGAAGTACTTGGCGACTACATCAGGCATGGGGCTTGTGCTTGGAGGGACTCAGCCAGTGGCGTTGACTGGTCACTGCGACTCTTCCTACGCTGACGACGTGGAGACTCAGCGCTCGACTCAGGGTTACTGCTTCAGTCTGGGAGCTGGTGCTGTGTCGTGAAGGTCTACACGGTCGTCGTCTGTGGCTACTTCCAGTGCAGAGGCAGAGATCTACGCTGGTGCCATGGCGGCACAGGAGCTTCGCTGGTTGACCTTCTTGCTCGCCGACCTTGGTGAGCGGCCTCGCTCTGCACCGACCTTGTACGCTGACAACAAGGCCATGATCCTCCTGTGTCGAGAGCCTCGACTGGAGAGCAGAGTGAAGCATATTGACGTGAGGTACTTCCTTCTGCGAGAGCTGCAGCGACGCGGCCAGGCACGCCTGGACTTTGTGGCCTCAGAGGCCAACACTGCAGACGTCTTCACCAAGGCCTTGGCGTTTGGTGATCACCACAGGTTCTGTGTGCAGTTGGGGCTTGTTGAGGTAGGCCCTCAGTTGCTGTAGTCTTGTTGTTTGCTCTACTTGTTGTGCTTCCTATTTATATCCTAGTGAACTCTTGAACTGGCCTTGTGGCCAGTTGCTTGCGCTCGGAATTTGTGTGGTGTCCTTGAGATCCACCCTGAGCTTGCCTTGTTTCTTGCTTTGACTGGTCTTGTGACCGTTTGTTCACCTTGCTTGTTTTGATGCCCCTCACTTAGCCTATGGGGGTGTGTCAAATGTAATTCTATGCTTGTAGGCTACAATGAGTAGCACAATAGGGAGTACAGTTGTTAGGGTTGCATATTTGTACTTCCACACTTCCTAGTTTCATGCATTCCGTTGCATTCCTATTCTGAGAAATACACAATTTTGAAAAATATCAATGTGTTTAAAAATTATAATTTATAATTTCCCACCCGCCCACCCAATTGTGTATGTTGTTATGTAGACTTATATACGACAAGAACGATTTACTAGAACCCACATGAGATGATAACGCTGCCTTTGTCCATATGACATGATAACGTTGCCTTTGCAAGTCAGCCTAAGTAGACTTTCACAATGAATACCTCATGAAATACGTACCTTTACTTTAGGTAGGCTCGCCTGTGTGAAAACTGTTCCCACCCAACCACAACCCATATTTGCCACATTTTTTTTTACAGCCTGCTACTCAATCCTTCATAGTATCACTTTTGCTTCACACTTAACACACAAGCCCTTTCGTAACTCCAGAAACTAAGCTAACTACGGAAACGGATCTTAAAAAGACCTGGGCCTGAGCACAGTTTGCATGCAGTCCAGCGTAAAAATTGGAAAGAACGGTACTTGGCTGCAATACAAGCTGCTCCATTGTTACATTATGAACTGATGTGGAAAGCATTGACTACCGAGAGTTCTCAAACCACCGCTGCATCACTGTCTCTCCATCTGAACCAATTTGCAACAGGAAGGAAGTAGCAAAGAAAGGTTGAGGAAGAGAGAGAGGGAGGGAGGGAGGGGGGGGGAGGAGAGAGAGAGAGAGAGAGAGAGAGAGAGAGAGAGAGAGAGAGAGAGAGAGAGAGAGAGAGAGAGAGAGAGAGAGGGAGGAGGGGGGAAGTCTCAATGGACAAGTACGGATGCGTTGCACGAGAAAGACTTGAAGATCGATGACAGCTAGATAACAAGTCAAGGCCCTTGGTGATGCAAGGTTTCCATAGCCGGCATGACGCTCGACCAGGCATGAGTGAATTTGGTACATATCGCCACGGACAGCGACGATAGCAACGGACTGACAGATGACGCGGCTTCGAACAAGAAGATTTTGCACATACGCGATATAACGTGCTCGTTGCAAGCAACAAACCAATGCCATTCGCTAAGAAATAGGATGAGCCGTCAGTTGCTGAAATTGTCACCGCCGTGTTCTGCTACTCTTCTCATCTGAAGCACCCAACGCTGCTTAGCCAAGCTGTGGTCCGCTTCAATACGCTCTGAATAAATGCAGTACAAGTCACTGGCTCACCCACCTCGTCAAACTACCTGTATAGGCCTAAACCCTGCTCGGAAGTCAACTGCTAGATAGCGACGCGTTCGCGCAGAAATAATCGAACTGTCACTTTACGCGCGGCAGTAAAGAACCTCACCAAGATGCTCCTCTAACCCTCCTCTCCTCCTACCTCACGTTTACGCCTGAGCGGCAGCCTCCGACTGAAGAGGCGGAAGGTCCGACGACGGTTGCCCAGCGAGGCGAGGCGATCGGATGTCCACGATAATGAATTTCTTCGACTTGGAGACCGGCGCGCACTTGGCAAGAGTCACGAAGTCACCCACGCGGCACTGGTTCTCCGGGTCGTGCGCCTGGTACCGCTTCACAGAGGCGATCCGCTTCTTGTACAGCTTATGCGGGTAAATGCGCTTCACCTCGACCGCGGCCGTCTTGTCGTTCGCGGTCGACACGACGGTCCCTTGGATTTTACGCACGGCCACGACGCGGACGACGGGGCTGGCGCTAACGGCTGCGGGCGTGGAGCCGGCAACAGCTGACGACTGCTGAATGCGCTCCCCCGAAAGGAAGGAGGAGGCAGGCGCGAGCCTGACGGAGGACGCGAAGGAGGACGCGAGAGAGGCCGCCATGATGGGACGACGGGAGCGGAGGGGATGAGACTGCGAAGTAGGGTTCGAGGGTGAAATGAGAGGTTTGGAGATGCAAGCCCTGCGCTGGCAGGGAGAGAAAGGAAAGCGAAGGGGAAGATGGGTGGGGGAGAGGTGTGAAGCGGCCAGGGGGTGGTAAGGGGGTGGACAGGCCCGCGGAGCAACACAGATGGGTCAGCCGGGGGAAAACGATAGCGGGGGGGTAAAGTGGGGGAAAGGGTAGGTTTGCGCAGGTTGTTTGATGTGGGGGGTAGCGGTGGGTGAGGTTCGGTGTTGGAGGGTTGGGAAATGGGGAAAGTGGAGGTTGTGAGCTCCCAGACTGGAATCATCTTGACGAGTTCGGTTTTCGGTTCACGAGCTGCCCCTTCCAAATACTGAACGAGGTCGTTTTGCAGTACCCTTTTCGTCGCTGGCGACGTACTCCAGGCAACTTTGATTTCTCTCCCTCGCACACACTCTAGGCAAACATTTGATACGAACTCCAGCCAAACTTTTCCGAATCCGAGTTCACTACCTCCCCCTTGCAAACCAGTCCTGACCTCAGTTCACGCGAGAATGGAAGCTGGGTTTGGAATCCCAAAGAAAGTAGCAATGCCTGTGTCAACGTGGCTCCATTCAACGCCGACTGCTCGCTCCTGCGACGTGGCGAGGAAATGGATAAGAGGGTGCGAGGAAGTTTTGATCGTCTGTCGCAATCGCTCGCAAAGCGGTTTGTTACAAAGTTAGGAAGCTGGGCTCTACTGAAATGTATTGCTCGACAAGGTAGTCAAGATTGATGAGTTATCTTATGTTGACAGGAAAACATCACTTTTCCTTATCCTTACTCCATCCAACATCGTGACAATCATTACCCCCTTCATCACTCTTGACAAAACCCATCCGTTACCATTGTGCAATCACAACCCTAAGCAAACTCATTGGCAGCCGGAGGCTTCAGTGTTTTCCAGCCCTCAATTAAATGTCTAACGCATTACCGTGATTTAAATATTCAGTGTTCACTCATGACTTCCCTCACATTCCCTTCTATTGCGTTATGCAATCCTAGCTCTATTGCAAGCCTCACAAGCTGCCAAAAGCATGCATGTCTTGACTGGGCGTTTTGATTGGGTATCTTGAGGGGGGGTTTTATGTGTGTTGCATTTGGGTTCTTTTTGGGAGTTTCATTTTCCTTCTCCCTTTCTTTCTCCATTCCCTTTCTTTTTCAGACACACTATGGCGAGACACATGGTGTGAATGACTGTTCTGTCTTCAGTGAAGAAATCACCCAGTTAGAGCCAGCCATGCGGATCAACATGAAATCTTGCATGAAATTCCATGTATCCAGATGTCACCTCTGTAATATTATAGAAGCACCTTCGCCTTCAAAAAAAAAAAAAAAAAAAAAAAAAAAAAAAAAAGGAAAATTTCAGTCTCGGGCTAAGGGCGTGTTACATTTCCGATTTTTTTTCCAAACGGACCGGACCGTCTGAACGGTTGAAATCGGTTTACTTGTTAAACGCTTTGTTCAAGTGGGTTTCAGTTCGTTTCAGAGTGGTGAATGTCCGGACCGTACGGAAAAATCGAAAATGTAACACGCCCTAAAAGTACGGCAATCAGGTTCAAGTGCCTACTATGTTTCGTGCGTTCACCATTGGCATGAGAATTACCTCCACAACTAGTGCCTCTGTTAGCTTCTTGGGCCGTTAGATAGGCACGCATGGTAGTCATGGAGTTTGACGCAAGAATTCATTTTGCATTCTCTTGCAAACCTCCTTTATGCGCATTATCCAGAAGGCTTGACGTAGAAGGCCGTGAGAAGGATTTAAAGCGTCTTAAAAAAAAAGACCCGCACCACGCATGTAAATATTGTCGAAGTGTAATGAATATCCAGTTCATGGAAGAGAAAGAGCCGATTCCAGTAACTTGGTCGTCTGTTGTCCACTCAGAACATATTAAAAAACGAAGGCTCGTCGAGCACGGACCCACGAAGCCATATCCATGAAATTCGTTTATTCTTCTGCTTCATCTACCTTCGGAAGAGGGTAAAAGACAGTGCTCGACGGCACAGAGCCCACCTGCGGATGTTATTCAGTGTAAGCAATGACATAGATCGCAAAGTAAAGATAAATATAAGAAATCAACGATAAAAACCTGTGGGATTGCTTGCATTGGCCGGTCAAACTTCTTCATCGTCTCCATGCCAGTCCGTTGCTGCTTGAAGGTCGAGGAAACCTCATGGTCAATGGAAGGGTTGAGAAGCGAGAATTTTCTTCTTCTTGAACCTGCAATGCTGCATGAGCTACTTGCTTCTCCTGAATGCGTTTCGGAGCTCCATGAAGAAGATATGTTGCACAAAAGGCTTGCTGTTGGTGTCTCCAGGCTCGCAACAGAGCCTGTTGAAGCGATGCTGCTCTCAGATTGGCAGCATTTGCACCTAATTTCCGTGGTCCTGCTGTTTCTTCGGCTTCCGTCGTTTCGTTTCTTCGTCATCTTTGCAGAAACAGCACTTGGTTGAGTGGCGAATGCCAGGATTGATCGATTTTATGGCATTCCAAGCCGCTCGTGGCATCAAGTATTCGCTGCAACAATGTGCAGCGATGCCAAGCTTCGGTACACTAAGTATGTATTAGAAGTATGTTATATTGATAAAGACTTCGATAATTCCAGACCCAATCTGCTTTTTGCAGTATACAGTGTAATGCAATTCCACCCGCTGAACAAGAGAATAAAAACATTTTGGGGAAAGACGTTTTGGGGCATCAATATTCACTTGCAGAATGCTCTTCAGGGAACAATAATCAGGAGTGTGCTGTACCAAAAGCAAATGACTTGGTGAATCGAAGCCTTCGAAATGCATCACCGTATATGATACTCCTATGAAGACTATTGTTGCCTCTTGTCCAGCCGAGCATCCCACTCTCTCTCCTCCAACTCCTGTTCTGCCACATCTTTTTGTGTAGAATAAATCACTCGCTCCTCTCCCAAAACAGTTCGTTCTGCCTTCTGCCGTGCACTAGCCAGCTGTCAAGAGGGAAGCGGGTGATGCAAATGTTAAGTCGAAATGTTGGAAATGTAACCAGTGAATACCCGAAAGGGCCAGAACAAGCAACCATGACTTCCCATTTCACGCACGCAAACCAAAAAAAAAAAAAAAAAAAAACCATCGGGACCGGTTCAAAGGAGACTGAGGTGGTATGGTGGCGGCTTTGGAATGGAACTAACCTTCTTCCGGAGGTGGGGCGAGGGATGGGAGAGAATGTGAGCGCTCTCTCTTCTCCTCTGGTTGCGAGTCTCAATAGCTGAGTTGGTGGAGCTGAGGAATGCCCAGCGGCACAAGGGAATGACAAAGAATGCCACAGAATATGCCTGGACAGAGAGAGGTGAGGGCAGGACGGGGCACACAATAGTTGGGTGCGGGGGGAAAAAGAGGTGGGAAGGAAGGGGCGGGTGAAAAGGGGGAAGCACAAAATGGGGGAAGGAAGAGGCAAGAGTAGACCAGGTTGACCGAGTTGAAAGAAGGATAGGGCAACATTGAGGGAAATACTCAAACCAAGACTCTTGAGGGTTGAGGCAGAAGACTATTTCAGTGATCACCTGCAGTGCAGGCATGAGGCGCTGTATTGTGGCAACTAGGGGGAGCCCTGCCTTCCGAATAACGGCTGGGTTCCTGGAAGAGTGGTTTGAGTCAGGAAGGGGAACAGGAGTGGAGCGGAATAGAGATTAGAAATGGCAGAAGGGCAGGGTCAGTGGATGCACAAGGCGAGGCAGGGGAAGGAACATGCATGGGATGGAGGGATGGAGGAAAAGAGGGAATTGAATCGCATGAGAGAACATGCATAACAGAACATGAACAACCCTCATACCTTTCCTATTTGGCCCAGCCCCCTCCCAATCCCTTCGTTACCTCCACCCAATTCAGCTTACCTCAACGTGTCCTGTTTCTCAACCGAATCCCAGCCCCATGCACATGCTGCTACAGACCTCCATGCAGCCACCATCCCAGAACAGGTTCGTTGTTCAAGCAGGAAGAGACAAACCTGAGCACTCACCTGAGCACCTGAGCATTCGGCTGAGCAAAGAGACGAGCACGTGAGCATGCACCTGAGCATGGAGGAGAGTATTAGAACGCCGACCACATTGATGATTCCCAGCCCCACTGCCAACACTCGCTTCGTGGGGGGGGCGTCACTACAGCCGAGGAAAAAGGGGGAGAGTGAGAGGACGTACACAGGCATGAATGGGTTACTGGAGGCCCCAATTGCATCAACACAAATTAATTTTACAGGGCGTGGGTTCTGATGTGTGGAAAGATTACTTGAGGAACCATTCACCACATCGGATCTCACACACTGCTCTAAGAGAACGATTTTTACCTACGAGTGCAACTGGTGTCACACCGACAAAGGCCACCTCCGGAGCTAAATGGTCACCTGACTGACCTGCAAAGCTCACCTGACGGACCAACAAAGGTCACCTGACCTGACGGACCAACAAAGCTCACCTGAAGGACCAGGCGTTTTCAACGAAGATAGGAGCGGGCACACGAGAGTTGGAGTAGGAGGGAGTGCGGGTGTCGTGCTGCTCTGCTGTGCGCTGGAGCAGCGGAAAGGCATAGAATATGTGGCCCTGGTGGGAAGACGGGGACAGGGCGGCCGGAGGAGGAGAGGAGGAGTGAGGAAAGAGACGTAGGGGTGGAAGGTGAACTACGAAGTATACAGAGTGGTGCGCTGCAGGGCCTTGCAAAGTTGAAGGAAGAAGAAGCCAGTGGAAGGCAGTGGAAGGCAGTGGAAGGCAGTGGAAGGCAGTGGAAGGCAGTGGAAGGCAGTGGAAGGCAGTGGAAGGCAGTGGAAGGCAGTGGAAGGCGGTGGAAGGCAGTGGAAGGCAGTGGAAGGCAGTGGAAGGCGGTGGAAGGCAGTGGAAGGCAATGAAACGACGACAGGTGGAGAGGAGGGAGTGGCAGAGCAGAACAGCAAGGCCCACCTGGTCGTCGACAGAGGGCGTGCCTTGGAATCGCTGTAGCACCGGCAGCATGTAGGCCTCGTTTGACTGTGGTAGGGGTGTAGTGTAGGCAGCATGGTGAAAGGAGGAGAGAGCAGGTTGAAAGGAGGGTTGCCATGGTCAATGGGATGGAGACTGGAAGGAAGGACACCAAGGAAGGACAAACACAGGAACGGAGAGGCGGAGGCAGGCAGGGATGTGACGGGAGCAGTGGTGCCACTAAGCTGAGTGACATGATCTTCACACATGCAGCACGCCCCGTCATGTCTAGACCGATAACCCCATGCATTCCTCATGTGATGACCGACCACCACGTCCTTGGGAGGATAGGTCTATTTAGGTGAAAGCTTTTGCGGTTTTCACACCTTCACACCGGCACGTTGAGCAATCCACGAGCATGAGAGCATGAGAGCATGCGCATATCAGGTCCGGTAGTCGGAGTCTATTTCTGAGGCGTTCCAAGAATATACTCGAGCAATGCATGAGCATGAGAGCATGAGCATGAGAGCATGAGCATACCAGGTCCTCTGGTAGGTCAAGGTACGGTGCAATCTCCTGCGCTGCCACCACCCCGCCCCTGCTGCTGATCACCTCCCCTATCTGCCCTCCACGCCCGCCCACATGCGCCAGCCGGGTGACGGGAGGGGCAGACACGAAAGGGCAAGCAGAGTGGTTGACACAGGGGGGGCGGACAGGGGGTGGGAGACAGGGAGGGCGGAGACAGTGGGGAGGTGTTGGGGAGGGGGGGAAAAGAGAGATATACACGAGGCACAGACAGCTTGAGGCGGCAGAGGGGCAGCAGGCAGAAGAGACAGGTGGTATTGCGATTGATGCACAATTAATGGGGTGTGGCATGGCATGGAACAGGAGACGCGTACCATGCAGGTGAACATGTATTGCACAAGTAATCGTGCAGCAAGAGGCGTGGGGGATGGGACATGGGGCATTGAGCATAGGGCATGGGGCATTGCGCCGCATGGCGCATGGCACATGCATGGCACATGCATGGCACATGGGGCAATCGGAGACAGCATGCGGCAAGTGGGAGGAGCAAGGCAAGGCACGCACCAGTCTCCATCTGAGCTGCTCCCTGCCATCGTTGGGGTCTCCATCGCCGAACACAAAGGAGAACACCTGCCCGCGCAGCAGAGAGAGGAGAGAGCAATAGAGATTCGATAGTGCGGGGTATGATGGGGTAAGAGGGGAGAAGACGGAAACTGATACTTGCTGAATTTGAACATAGAACAAAAACAACACCAGACAATGAGGGGTTTGATGGTAGGCGTGAAAGATTGAGAAAGGCGGTAAGTGAGAGAGTGGGAGCGAGGAATTGAGTGAGGGAGTGAGTGAATCCGAGCAACAACAACAAAGAGAGTGTATGTGTGTGCATGACCACTAAAGCCTTTAGTCCTACTACCATGTGACGCCCCTCATTTCCCTCCCTCCCACCAACCACCCTCCTCCCTTAGCCTCTCCCATTACTCCTCCTTCTCCGCCTTTTCCCCCATCTTTCCCCCCATCTTTCCCCGTTCCCCCCACGGTGGCCATGGATGGCACGCACGGATTCAAGGAAGCTCATCTCCCGCTGCTGCAACTCGCTGCGCACGCGGCGGTGGTACCCAGGGTCCCAGTACCTGGTGCAACGGGGGGGAAGGGGGACGGGGACGGGGACGGGGACGGGGACGAGGACGGGGACGGGGACGGGGACGGGGACGGGGACGGGGACGGGGACGGGGACGGGGACGGGGACGGGGACGGGGACGGGGACGGGGACGGGGACGGGGGAAGGGGGAAGGGGTCGGGGAGGGTGGGGTGAAAGGAAAGGTTCAGGGAAAAGGGTCACGGGGACGTGGCAAGGAATGGCGCAGGGTGCAGGGGACGAAGTAAGGTCCAGTGAACAGGAATGGAATGGATGGTGACATGCCGCAACGCAACGGGCCCGCCTAGCAAACCATTCATTCCACGGGTCCACGGTAGAAAGGGAAACAGTGCTTGCTGGCCTGGCCGATGCTCTGATATGGCCACCACAGGATCACCTGAAGTGGTCTAACCTGATCTGATCTGATCTGATCTGATCTGATCTGCCTGCCACCAGCTTGCATTGCAAGGCGATGGCATGTCCTAGGAGTGACCCCTCATGCGTCCCCTTGTCAGCTGCGCGATTCATGACAGCCCTCAACAGCCAGACTAAAAAATCAACTTATCACACACGAACTCTCAACAACCAACTGTGCCTTGCTCCGCGGAGGGGCCTGCTTGCCTGCAGCAACATGGCTCAGGCGAAACAGACGGACTGGACTGAACTGTACGCAGCACGCTTGCTTGGGTTCCAAGGCGGAAAGTAAGGCACTGACAATTGTGAAAGCTGCGGCATTGGGCTCGCGAGGTACATTGCTCAGAGAGAGCAGGGCACGGTTTACAAGTTACAACTGGATGGAAGGTAAGAAGACGCCATAGTTTCAGGTAGAGCAAGAGCCAGGGTTCTCCAGCAAGGACCTTGGAGGCACACGCATGCTGCAGGCCACGTATCTAGAGCAGTCCGCAGCACAGCAGCAGTCTATGTGGCACGGCACACGCATGGCATGCCCGCACACATATACACACATATATGACGGCACGGCACGCGTAGATGGCACACGCATGCACGCATGTCAGCACGCGTGGATGGCACACGCATGCACGCATGTCAGCACGCGTGGATGGCACACGCATGCACGCATGTCAGCACGCGTGGATGGCACACGCATGCACGCATGTCAGCACGCGTGGATGGCACACGCATGCACGCATGTCAGCAGGCGCGACCCACCAGAGTAGATCCGCAATGTTGAAAAAGAAGGTTGGGCCCCGGTAACGGTGGTAGTGGCCTCTCCCCCTCCCCCTCCTCTCATCGCTATCCCTGTGCTCATGGTGGACGGAGGGGACGGGGGTGGGGGGGAGAGAAGGGGAAAACAAAATGGGAAAAAAGAAAAGCATGAAGAGGAAAGCGAAGGCGGGTATAGGCGACACAAGTAGGGAATGGAGGAAAGGGAGGCGATGAGGAGAAAGACGCCACAGCACAGCTCCATAAGTACAGGGCAAGCACGAACATGCAGCAAGTGACATGCACCTTGTGGCACGGGGCATGTGGCATGCGACATGTGACATGTGGCATACCCCTGTGCGGAGGTCATGAGGACGAAGATGGATGTGTAGACGACCACCACTGATGCCACCAGGGCCGTGCCGAACGACACTCGCATCACATACCCTGCTGCTGCCTGCTCTCACACCCACACGCATGCACGCACACAAACACACACACACACACACACACACACGCGCGCGCGCGCGCGCGCGCACAAACACACACAACCACACAACCACACACACGTGCAGCGCACGAACCCACACACAAAGAAGGTTTCGGTAGATACACGGTTGATTCAGGGCGACACGGCAGGACGGGCACTGGCGATGGGCAGCGGTCGGCAGAGAGGTGATGACGTGGCCGAGAGGGGTGGGAGCGAGCGAGGACGCACAAGTCACCGCGTCAAGTGGACGACTAGTGAGTGCATGGACGGTCCCCCTTCTCTCTCACTCTCACAGCTGCCTATCAGGCGAGCATACTTGGCCTGCGCCTCACCTTGGCCTGCGCCTCACCTTGGCCTGCGCCGCCATGGGGGCGAGGCGCATGCGCAGCGAGCGCTGCGCGATGAGCGCGCGCAGGTTGCGAGGCAGCACGTACAGCACGTCGCCCTCGTCCGATACCTGGGCGCGCGGGGGCGGGTGGATCGGCGGAAGAAGGGGAAGGGGGGGGGGGGGGGTAGGAGGATGGGCTGCGACGGGGGTAGGGGACTCGAGGTACATAGGATGCCGGTTTGGGTGTTTGTTTTGCTTGTGTGTTTGCATCTTCCATTGTACCACCCCTTAAGTAATGCAAGGACCATTCGAGAGAGAGAGAGAGAGTAGGAGGAATGGAGGAAACCAGATATCAACGAGAACTCCGAGCTTAAACTGCCTCGTATCCGACTCTCAAATCCGCCCTTGAAGGATCCGGCACACCTTGAAGACAGCAACCACCCATCCCCCCGCTCTTCCAACCCCCCATCTTTTCACTCACCTCTAGGAACCCTTCCCCATCCGCCGCAAAAGCCTTTAGCGCCTTTTCCGCGTCACCTACTTTCAATCCGCTGCGCGCCGCCACGTCACCCACAGTCACCCGCCCGTACCTATCCCTTCTGCCTCCGCCGCCTTGATTTCCCCCTGCCGCCCGCCCGGGTTCCGCCACGAGAGCCTCTACCGCGAAGAGCGCCCTGTCGCGCACGTCCGCGGGGAGAGAGTCCGACTCCGCGGACGATGGGCGCGCGACGCTTAACGACTGCAGGGGGTCGCGAAGACCGCCAAAAGTCCCGCTTCCGCTGCTTCCGCTGCTGCGGCTCTCTTCACCCCATCCCCCCGCTTGCCATGCATCGTCTTGCATCCCACCTCTTGCGCGGAACCCCCCCCGGTAAGGTGAACTCCCTGCGCCCTCGGTTGCGCCTGCCCCCGGCTGGCGGAATCTTCCGCGCGCCCGCTTTTTCAACCTGCTGTGGTGGTTCTCTGTGGCGGAAATTACCAGCTCCATCCCCCCTCCCCCCTTCCCTTCCCCTTCCCCTCGCTCCCGTGATTTCAAGCCGACGAAAGTCCGCCAGGAGACGCGGTTCGAGTGTGCAGATCTAGAATTAGATTCGAACGGTGAGGACGATCGACGGACGCATGTAACGAGCGGCGAGCGCGGAGAGGAGAGGAGGTGAGGGGATCCGGCCTTATTCGAGAGACAAGTGACGAACAAAGCCTTAACGTTCCGCGAATCACGGCGAGGGGTGGCGATGGCACTATTAGAGTCGTGCCGCACGGCGCCAACGGTAAAGCTACTTGACGCCATGGCTTCAGGTCCAATCGTAAGCGCAGCGTATAGCGGGTCACACCCAATCTCACGAACCTATTATCCACGTGCGACACGGAAGACGCAAACCACAGACGTTTACGAGGACCCCTTAAGGCGTCTCAATCAGAACACACGCGGACTGACCGCGACCGTGCGGGCCCAGAGGAAAGTATCAGACGGCTCTGGGGAAATTTGCCAGGCGAACGAGATTCGTTTGACCAGCAACAGGCTAAAGGGGCACCGGATGGCAAGCGTGCACGTTAAGGGGGGACTGATCAAGTAAGCTCGCCCAGCACGTGCACTGATCTTTTCCACTGAAGACTCGAGCGTTTGACGTGACGCGCCGCGAGGTACCTCAGATGCTCTGTGTGATACAACTAAGTTCGAGTGGCTAAAATACTGCCCACATTTTTTCCCGCAACACTGTTGGGCAGGCTGATTCGCGAAGCTTGAGGAGCTGCTGGTAACCGTTCGTATAAGTGACACAAGGTGGTGCGGTTCCCAAAAGCGTTATGCTGGCGAAATATCAAGCAACCATAACTTCGTCTTCGTTTGAGCAGCTCTCAAAAATTGGTGAAATATCTGGCCTATTTAGCCCTACACTTCAGGAACACCTTACACATACTGTAATGCATACACAAACTTTAGTCTCTAACTAAATGCTATTGCATCAAGCCATCTAAGCTCTTCACACATATAGATACAGGCGATTGTTAGCAAACAGCCCTGCAAAAAAGACAGACAAACCAGAATGTCTACCCATTCAGCGCGAACGCAATTGCAGTCACATGACTGGCTCTCCCTCGCAAGTCTTCAGTTGCTTACAACTCAACACTTAACGTGTGAGAGCTGAGCAGTGTATGCCTCTAGCTATGATGGGGGGAGTGTCAGAACATACACAGCCGCCCCATTTGTGGAGCAGTAGGGGGCGGTAGTTTCTTATGTGACAGCATGAGGGGAAGAACTATGCCAATGGCTAAGCAGAAGGAAGAGCCAAGGGAGAGGTGGGTGGGAGAAGTTCAGGCGAGCTAGGGCATGGGCTGCTGTTGAAGCTTTTGCACTGGGCATGCATCCTCGTGCATTCCGTTCGTGGGAGTGGCAAGGGGAAGCAGGAGGAGGTAATCACAGGGATGGGGTGGGACGAACCAGAGACAGGTCAGGGAGGGACTGAGGTAGAGTACTGAGAGAGCGAGGGCCGAAGTAAGGGTGGAAGGACGAAGAAGCAGCTGGAATTGGGGGAGGGTTAAAGCGGAGGAGGGAGCAGAGCAGGTGCTGTTGGGACTGTAGAGAGGCATAAGCTGGAATGAGGGGAGAGAAGAGAAGAGAAGAGGGGGGGAGGAAGCCCTCAGATGGGAACGCAGAGGGGCATGCCCCGGAAGAGGTTGTTGGGACGGCAGATCCATCCGCGGTTGAGCATGGGCACGAGCGTGGCGTTGCGCTTGAAATTGTTGAGGATGAGTGACCCGCACGTGTCACCCAGCTGCACCGTGTACTTGATGTTGCGGATCGCGCGCGACCGCACTGAGCCACACGCCACCGCGCCGAGAGGCACCCCCGCCACACACACCTGCAGAGAAGGGAGCGGCAGTGGGGAGAGGAGGGCACGGAAAAGAGGAAGGGGGAGAGAGGGGGGAGAGAGGGAGGAGGAGGAGGAAAGGAGGAAATATTAGAGAAGGAAGAGAGAAAATAAGAATGAGAGAAAGAATGGGAAATCTAGATACTCCGTCCGTGGTCTGGAGAAACACCTCTGGGTTTGACGACACAAGGAAGCACAGCACACACCAAACGACCACCATTGCAACCCCCCTCCCTTCCAGCACATATCTAACGCCCCATCGCAACCCCTCCTCTCCCTCCTCTGCTTTCCCCAACTCCAACACCCCGACCCAGCACGTAACCCCACACACGCACCCCGGCACGCACGCACCTCTTGCTGCATGAGCGGGTTGAGGTTGTCGCAGAGCAGACCCGGGTTGAGGCGGTAGAGCGTGAGCCAGGAGATGGACGCAGCAGCGATGATGCTGGCACACGTGTCGCCCGCTGCAATGCCGTGGTACTCTGTGCACAGCTGGTAGTTGCTCGCGCCATCCACGTTCACTGCTCGCTCCAGACACACCTGCGCGGACCGCGGTGTCAGGGAGAAGGGAGGGGAAGAGAGGGGAGGGAGAGAGTGGGGGAAGAGAGGGGAGGGAGAGAGTGGGGGAAGAGAGTGGAGGGAGAGAGTGGGGGAAGAGAGGGGAGGGAGAGAGTGGGGGAAGAGAGTGGAGGGAGAGAGTGGGGGAAGAGAGGGGAGGGAGAGAGTGGGGGAAGAGAGTGGAGGGAGAGAGTGGGGGAAGAGAGGGGAGGGAGAGAGTGGGGGAAGAGAGGGGAGGGAGAGAGTGGGGGAAGAGAGTGGAGGGAGAGAGTGGGGGAAGAGAGGGGAGGGAGAGAGTGGGGGAAGAGAGTGGAGGGAGAGAGTGGGGGAAGAGAGGGGAGGGAGAGAGTGGGGGAAGAGAGTGGAGGGAGAGAGTGGGGGAAGAGAGGGGAGGGAGAGAGTGGGGGAAGAGAGTGGAGGGAGAGAGTGGGGGAAGAGAGGGGAGGGAGAGAGTGGGGGAAGAGAGTGGAGGGAGAGAGTGGGGGAAGAGAGGGGAGGGAGAGAAGGAAGGGATGCGTCGGGCAAGGAAGGAGTGAGGAGGGGAAAGAGTGGGGGAGACGAAGTGAGGGTTTACGGGAAATGGTTGCTTGGTTTCACGTGAGTGAGGTTTTGGGATGCTGTGTTCATGCGTGCTCCAGCCCACTGCAGGGAGGACACCACCATGGACTGACAAAGGGAGACATAGAGACCCAGAGACGGACATAGACTGGCACAGGGACAGACGACTTGCCACACAAACGTACGTACTGGCACAGAAGCACACAGGCATGGCATGCACAAGGCACGCAGGGGCGAGGCGAGGGGCGCACCTGCTGTCCAGGAATGAGCTGAGCGCAGTTGAGGCCTGGGTTGAGGTCTGTGAGGTTGACTCCGAACTTGGCCTCCAGAGCGGTGCAGTCCGTTGCTAGGCTGTCCGCCTGCCGTGGTGCACATGGGGGGTGGCGGAGTGGGAAAGCAGGGAGGAGCGGGGGAACGGAAAGCGGGAGGGCAGGAAAGAGCACGGAGAAGTGTGGAGGCGGGAGAAGAGGGGGCAAGGGGGGCGGTAGGGAAAAGTGGGGGGAAAGAGTGGAGTGGAGCTGTGTGGGACTGGCGGAAGCGATGCAAGGGATGGCATACGTGCAGCCTATACATGCAAGCGGGAAAGGACAAAAAGAAGGAAGAGGTGGAGGGATGGAGGAAGCTTGACAACAAACAGGGTGAGGAGGAGGAGGAGGAGGAGGAGGAGGAGGAGGAGGAGGAGGAGGAGGAGGAGGAGGAGGAGGAGGAGGAGGAGGAGGAGGAGGAGGAGGAGGAGGAGGAGGAACAGGAGACGTACTGCGGAGATGGGGTAATGTGTGATGCAGACGAGCGTGGGGTTAGGAGCAGAGACGTTGAGGAGGATGCCTGGCTGCAGATTGGTACAGTCCACGCCCTGTGGGATCAATGGGATCACCGGTACATGAACGAGAGGGCGCAGACGAGCAATGGGGCAGGCGGTAAAAGTGGAAGAGAAGGGAGAGGTGAGCGGACATGACAAGCGCATCAGAAAGAGGCAGAGAGGGCATCACATGTGAACAAGGTAGTGCGGAGAGAGGGGAAGGGAGTGACGGAGGATCGAGGTGTGGAATGCGGTGCAGCAACGAGAAGAGGAAAGGAGGGAGTGTCATGAGTGACAAGGTTTGAATGGAATTAGCAGCTGATGACCACATAAGCACCAAGGCGCAGAAGACACACAAGTACTCTTTCCCCTTCCCCTTCCATCCATCCATCCATCCATCCATCCATCCATCCATCCATCCATCCATCCATCCATCCATCCATCCATCCATCCATCCATCCATCCATCCATCCATCCATCCATCCATCCATCCATCCATCCATCCATCCATCCATCCATCCATCCATCCATCCATCCATCCATCCATCCATCCATCCATCCATCCATCCATCCATCCATCCATCCATCCATCCATCCATCCATCCATCCATCCATCCATCCATCCATCCATCCATCCACCCGCCCCAACCATTCATTCATCCACCCACGCGCACCCTTCCACTCTTTCACTCTCCTACCCCACACTCGCGCCCCTCCCCTGCTCTCCGTCCCAGCGCACCTCGTTCTGGTCGAGGAAGTCGGAGTGGGTGAGGCCGAACATGGAGTAGATGGCGTAGCACGAGTCGCCCGCCTGCGTCACGTACGTCGTCACAGGGCCCGTTGCCCCTGCCAGCCAGCCACACACCGCCACCACACCAGGCGTGAAGGACAGAGGGGGGGAAGGAAGGGGAGGGGGACGGGAGGAGACCAGGGGAGGGAGAGGGAGAGGGAGAGGGGGAGGGAGAGGGGGTGGAGAGGGCGAGAAGAAGGGTGATGGAAAGAGGGTGAGCCGGGTCTAGAGGACAGCAGGCTCAGCCGCAGGGCCAGCGTGTTGAGAAGAGAAGAGAAGAGTGAGTGAGCACGGGGGAGACGAGAAGGGGAGAGAGGAGCAGAGAAGGGGAGAGAGGAGAAGAGAAGGGGAGAGAGGAGCAGAGGAGAGAGGAGCAGAGGAGAGAGGAGCAGAGGAGAGAGGAGCAGAGAAGGGGAGAGAGGAGCAGAGGAGAGAGGAGCAGAGGAGAGAGGAGCAGAGGAGAGAGGAGCAGAGGAGAGAGGAGCAGAGGAGAGAGGAGCAGAGGCGGGCTTACTGGGGATGCAGGTGGTGGCTCCGGAGCTGTACTGGCTGAGGACAAAGTCAGTGGGGCACACACAGGTGTACGTGCCATCGCCCACGTTCATGCACGTGCCCTTGCCACACGGGTTCATCTTGAACACGCCACACACGTCCTCTGATGCCAACACGCAGGGGGGAAAAAGGAGGGGGAGGAAACGGAGGGGAGAAGGAGAAGCGGGGAAAGGGAGGGACGGGAGTGGGGGAGCAGGGAGGATGGAGGGGTGAGAAGGAGACAAAGAGAAATGGGTAGAATGACACGGTACACATTCCCTCCCTTGGTCTTTAACACCCAGAATGTGTGTGTGCATGCGCGTGCACACACACACCACGCACGCACGCACACACACGCATGCACACACATGCACACGCACGCACACGCACGCACGCGCACGCATACAGAGCCCAGCACCAGAATCAGTCCACCACATCAACCCAAAGTACGCACCGAGCACGCATGCCTGGCTGCCGTCCTTGTTGTTCACCACAGTAAGCCCATTCGCGCACACGCACTGGTACCCGCCATACGTCGGCAGCGGCTCTGGCGGCTTGCACGGGTCAATCTGCTCGAAATACGGAGCCACGCCCGCCCCCGGGCCCCGCGGCGGCGGCGGTGACTTGGATCTCGGCGGGGACTTCCTGACAGAGCCTGTTGAGCCCCCGCTCCCGCCCGCGCTGGTTCCCCCAACCAGGGAAGACGAACCCCCCCCTCCGCCGCTGCTACCACCGCCACTGCCAGTGTTCCCCGTGTTGCCGGTATTGCCGCTGCTTCCGGTTTTCCCGTTGCTTGCGGTGTTGCCTGAATTTCCTGAGCTGCCTTGGGTGTTTGTGTTGCTCTGAGACCCTGAGCTCCCCTGACTGTTCGTATTGCCTTCACTCTTTGTATTTCCCTGGGACCCTGTATTCCCCTGAACGTTGGTATTCCCTTCATTGCTTGTATTGCCCTGAACGTCTGTCCCTTGGGTGTTCGTGTTCCCCTGAGACCCTGTATTACCCTGAACGTTTGTATTCCCTTCAGTTTTTGTGTTGCCCTGAGTACCTGTATTCCCCTGACTGTTTGTGTTTCCATTGCTGTCAGAACCCCCACCGCCCGCACTCCCCGGTATACTCCCAGCACCCCTCGGTCCTACAAAGCCCCCAGTGCTGCCAGTGCTACCAGTGTTACCAGTGCTACCAGTGCTGTCACTGCTAGTGCTGCCTGCACTAGCCGTGCTCTCACTGACGCCAAAGCCGGAGGTTTCACTGTTGTTCGCGTTCCAGCCAAGATACATATCACCGACTGTGCTGCCTGTGCTGCCCGTGCTGCCTGTACTGCTCGTGCTACCAGAACTCTCAGAGCTGCCCGTGACGTCCGCACCAGTCGCTTTATCCCCATTCCCAGGATTCCCGGTGCTGTCAGTGTTGACAGTGCTGCCACCGGTGTCAGTGTTACCCTTGGTATCCGAGCCTTTTCCGCTTCCTGTGCTGCTCGTCGTCCCACTGCTGTCAGTGGCGCTGCCAGTGCTGTCAGTAACGCTGCCACTAGAAACAGTGCTGCCGGTGCTGACAGTGCCACCAGTGCCGCCGCTGGTGTCCGTGTTACCCTTGTTATCCGAGCCCTTTCCGCTTCCTTTGCCGCTCGTGCTGCCACTGCTGTCGGTGGCGCTGCTACCGGAAACAGTGCTGCCGGTGCTGCCCAGATTACCCGTATTACCACTGTCTCCCCCGCCTGTAGAACTGACTTCTCCTGTCGAGCCTGTGCCGCTGCTGCTGCCACTGCTGCCGGCACTCTCACTGTTCCCAGTGCTGCCAGTACTCTTCGAATCACCACCGCTGCTAGTACCCGCACTGCTACTGCTGCCACTACTAACGGTGCTGCCAGCGCTTTCCGTTGCTCCTGTGTTGCCAGCACTACCACTGCTGCCACCGCTTGCAGTGCTGCCACCACTGCCACTGCCACCATCGCTCACAAAAGTTGCTGTGCTGCCACTGCCGCCGGTGCTCTGAGTGTTCCCACTGCTGCCACTGCTGCCGGTGCTACCTGCACTGTCAGTCCCACTCCCGCTACTGCTTGTGCTTCCCGTGCTGCTAGTGGCAGTCGCCGTACTGCCGCTGCTGCCCACCGTCCCATCAGTGCGAGTGCTACCAACGGCGCCACTGCTTCCTTTGCCGTCAGTGCTTCCCGTGCTGCCTGTGCTTCCACCACTGCTGCTGCTCCCTGTGCTATCCGTACTTACCGCTCCAGAGCTGCTGGTGCCACTGGTGCTAGTATCGCCGCTGGTGCTAGTGCTGCCGCTGGTGCTGCTGGTGCCAGTGCTGCCGGCGCCAGTGCTGCCGCCGGTGCCTGTACTGCTCCCGGTCGTCCCAGTGCTTCCCGTGCTTCCAGTCGTGCCAGTCGTCTGCGTGCTCCCAGCCACCGGGCCCGTAGCCGTGCTCGTGCTTCCTGTAACGCTCCCCGTCGTGGTCACACCAGTGCTCCCGCCACTCCCATTCCCATTCCCGTTTCCATTCCCATTCCCATTCCCACTCACCACAACCGTTTCCAATCCATCTGACTTGGAACCCAAAAGCCCCGCTCCTACAGTCGTCGACGGCCCCCTCCCGTTATTCGACCCAGAGCCACCGTTGCCGTTCCTTAGCCCTTGCCCTCCCCCTCCTGATCCTGCTCCTGCTGCTGCTCCTGCGCCCACCCCTCTTCCTCCACCTGCAGCCGCGGTAGAGATTCTCCCTGCGCCTCCTCCGCCCGGCTTAGCCCCGCTGCCCGCCTTGCTCATCCACTGGCGCAGCCGCGTGCGCGCAAACTCCACGTTGTTCCGCGCAGTCACCTGCCGCGCGGAGCGAGGCCGCGGCGATGTCGAGTAGGAGGAATAGGGAGCGACGGATGCGAGGCCCTGGTCGTCGTTCTCGTCCACTCCCTCGTCTCCTGCCGTACTGGCTACAGAGAACATAGTCGCAGCAGCAGCAGTGGAAGCCGTGCCAGCCGTACCAGCAGTGCCGGTGCTCCCAGTTGTGCCCGTGCTGCCCGTGCCACCGGTGCTGCCTGTGCTACCTGTGCTGCCCGTGCTGGTGTTCCGGTCCGCCAGCATCTCGCACGTGCCTCCGCCGCAGCTAGCGATGCACGAGCTTGCACGCGTCGTTGCTGCAGGGCGCATTGGGGCAGGCGGTAGGGAAGGCACGGGAAGAAAGCGGGAGAAGAGTCGAGATCGGGAAGGGGGAGTGGGATGCGGAAGGCTCAAGAGCGCGCACGCGAAGGACATGGGAAACAGAAAAGAATCCCACAATCCTGTCACCATCCTCTCACAACACGCTCCATTCACCCTCCCTTCACCCTCCCTTCCCAACCCCCTTCCCTGTCCCCCGCGTGCCTCCTTGGCCCAGCAAGCACTCACGGTCAATGACAGGATACAGGCCGAGCTGGTACGTCATGCCGCACATGCCGCCGTATTTGAAGCTCATGCCGATGCGCATGTACCCGCCCTCGCCCCACGACACGCCCCAGCTGTTGCGGATGAGGAAGTAATTATCTGGTGCGGAGGGGCCGCTGTAGTGGTACCCCACGACGAGCACCACGTGGTCTAGCTCGGGGTTGTCCGGGTCGAAGCACTCGTCGTCGCTGTATATCCCGCCCTGCGGAGGGATCCGGGAGGAAGAGAAGCGGGGAGGCGGGGAGGGAGGAGAGGGGAGGTGGCTCGGAAACGTATGTGGAGATTTGAGAGAGAGAGAGAGAGAGAGAGAGAGAGAGAGAGAGAGAGAGAGAGAGAGAGAGAGAGAGGGAGAGGGAAAGGGAGCCGGAGAGAGAGAGTGAGAGAGAGTGAGAGAGGGAGAAAGAAAGAGAGAGAGAGCAAGAGAGAGAGAGAGAGAGAGAGAGAGAGAGAGAGAGAGAGAGAGAGAGAGAGAGAGAGAGAGAGAGAGAGAGAGAGAGAGAGAGAAAGCACGAGGCACGAACCCCTCCAGGGTTCAAAGCAAGCCCGGAACCTCCTCGCACACGCACCTCATATTCAACGAAGGTAGGGTGCGAGGCCCGGATGGTGACGATCACGGGCTGCGTCTGCACCACGAGCATGAGCCCCAGCGCGCCCGGCAGCGGCACCTGCTCGTACAGCGTGATGCGCACCGTCTCGCCGCGCTGCACGCAGGGGGTCGCGCGGAAAGGTGGGCGCGGTGGGGGAAGCGGGGGAAAGGGGAGCGGGGAAGAGGAGGGGGGGAACGGGAGGGGCGGGCTTGAGTGTGGAATGGGGAAACAGGGACGAAGGGAGGAGTTTGCGCGGAGAAGGGAAACAGGGAAGCAGTCGGCGCAGATGCAGCAGGGAAACGCCCACCCGCGCAGTTCACCCGGCACAACCCCACGCCGCAAGCACCGCCGAACCCCAGAGACCCAGAGCCCAAGAGGCTCAGCGCACCCCCACATCCCCCGCATAAGCGCGCCGGATCGGATCAAACGACGCAGCTCCCGCACGGACGCCCGCGGGGAGCGCGCGAGCGCACACAGGGACGCACGCACCACGATGGAGCTAGCAAGGCACGTGCCCTCCATGGCGCTATACGAGTACTCCGCGTTCGTCCCCAGTCGGCTCTGCGCGATGTACTGCAGCGCGTCCTCGGGATACCCGCCCCAGCAGCTGCCGGCCGTGCAGTCCAGAAGCTGCTGCACCGACAGCGTCGTGCGCGCCGGCAGCGCGTTCGTGAACGCGTAGTACGCGCCCTCCACGGCGCCCGCCACGGCGAACGCCCAGCACGTGCTGCATAGGCCCTGGTCCGGAGGGTCCGCGTACTGCGACGCGACGCCGAAGGAGCCTACTACGTCCCACACAGGCGCGCCGGTGGTGGGGTCGAAGTCGAGGTTGGTCGTGAGGTAGCGCGACACGGGGTTGAACTGCGCGCGCGAGTTAAGCGTCATGCGCCGGAGTGAGTTCAGCCCCAGAGTCTTGTTGCCTGCACGGGGAGGAGGGGGGAGGGAAGGGGGGAGGGGCGGGGGAAGGGTTGGAACGGTCAGAGTTCAGCGTGCGGAGGAGCGGAGGCCATCGGCGCGTGAAGGGGGAAAGCGCGCGCGCGGATGAGCGCGCGGGAGGAGTAAAAGTGCGGGCGAATATAAGCGAGGGGGCGGAGCAGCGCACCTGGGAGGACGCGAATGGGCGGCCGTTTATTGTTCTGCTTGCCGGGCTTGCGCCATCCGCCGAACCACCGCTTGAAAAGATCCGCCAGGCTTAGCTGCCGACGCACCGGCAGACATCCTGCCAGGGCCCAGGGGAAAACAGGAAACGAGGCGCGGAAACCAGGGTCGGTGAGTCGAAAGGTAGGTGAGAAAGAAAGTGAAGAGGAGGGAGAAGCGACGCGTGGCGGGAGAATGATCAAAGAAAAGCGGAACGCTGCAAGGTGGAGCCAAGGTGGGGCGGTACGCAATGTTTTCCTGCCCGACTCTGTTCCAGCGCTCCTGTGCCCTCGGAATTGCTGTCCCTTGCTCCCCGCTTCCCCACCGTTCCCCACTTTCCCGTCCCCTCGCCCCCCACTAACCTTCTCCGTAGCACGGAACCCGCGATGCTTGCCGAGACGCGTGTCCTGTGAATGGAAGGAAGTACATACAGGAGGGAGGAAAGTTGGCAGGTTAAAGACGGTTGGAGCCGAAAGGCGGGAGGAGATTAACGGCGGGAGGAACCGAAAGGCGGGAGGAGATTAACGGTGGGGGGAACCGAAAGGCGGGAGGAGATTAACGGCGGGAGGAACCGAAAGGCGGGAGGAGATTAACGAAGGGAGGAGACGAAAGGCGGGAGAAGGTTAACGAGGGGAGGAGACGAAAGGCGGGAGGAGGTTAACGACGGGAGGAGACGAAAGGCGGGAGGATGTTAACGACGGGAGGGCACGATATGCGGGAGGATACAGAAGACGCGATGAGACGAAAGGCGGGGGGATACTAAAAAAAGGACGGGGGGAAACAAAAGGATGGACCTGACAGAGGCAACAAAGTCATCAGGAGATCTAAGCTCCCGAAGCGGAGGTAGTTACGCAGAATAATTTACCCTCCCAAAGCTGAGAAACGGACATGTATACAGCTTTATAGGACATGTCTACAGCTTTATAGGACACGTCTACCAACTTATTAAAAAAAGGCAATCTAGCCTTGCAAGGAGCTTCAAGGCTCTGTAGTTGGAAGAGCTGCTTAGGCAAGAGGCAATCGACAAGCCAGAAAGGGCGCGATAGGAAGACGAGGCCCTTGGTTGGGAGGCGGGCGCGCAGGACAGCAAGGCCAAGGAGGAAACCCTAAACACAGAGAAAACGGAGGTGCGAAGGGCAAGTTGAAGGGAAACCCTAAACGTATATGTAACCGAGAAGAAGAAGGTGCCCACCGTATTGACTAATCGTTGGAATGCCTCGCGCGAAAATGGTTTGGCAGAAGAAGAGAACGGCTATAATCAACAATGACAGAACCAGGCCTCGTACTCTCGCGCCTGCTCTAAGCCTCCCCATTGTGACGGCAGGTGTGCATAATCGTCGCATAGTGCAAATGTTGAAGCGCGTACTAGAACGGTCTGAAAGAACCAGTGGTCTCTATAGTCTCGGCCTTAAACGAACCCTCCGAAGAAAGACGGGAATTGCGACGAGCCAGTTTCGCTAGGGTGATCTTAAGCTGTCCGTCTGGTAGAAGTTACCGCAAAGCAGACTGTCTCGTAGAGCGGAGACTGTGTGAACGGCTGTGGGTTCGGCACTAGAAACACGTGCAGCTAGTATCGGAAGGCCAAGACGACAAGGGAAATATGTTAACGAGCGGAATAGGCCAACGGGCGCAGTAAGTCTATTCGTTCTTGGCACGCCGACTGCGCCATCCTGCAATGGAACCTAACTTCTAAAAATAACTACGGATGACGCCACGGTGCGGCAATAAATTATTCCCTGTTCGTTGCGTAAGACTGCCGAAAGGTAAATGTACAACGGCTCCAAAGGACCAGGGACAAGCTACTAAGTGCACCTAGAATAAGCTTTGAACATCGCATTAAACAGTACTGATAACATCCACTAAAGCCATTCACTGCCAGCTGTGTGGAAGGAAGCTATGTGCATCAGAAGCACCACTGTGCTAACAAACTAGGGAAGAGGGGGTGGGACAGCAGGAGTGGGAGGATGCGCGGGAGAGGTGGCTGGGGTGTGTGCCCTTTCCCCCTTCACTTCCCCCCCCCCACCCACTCAAGATCCTCTGCCCAGAGCCCACGAAGTGATGCCATTCACAGCCCTACCGTTCTCCCTAAAGCACTGTACAACCACCACCAACATCCATTCCCAATTTCCCAGACTTGCCCAGGAAGGAAAGGGAGGGCTCTCCGCTCGCCCTGCTCCGCGTCCGCTCACAACAGCTCTGGCCATCGCAGCGCAGGCGGTAGTTTTTGTTGTGCGTCAGCACGGCAGGTGTTTCGTGGCGGGAGGAAGAATTTCTCTCGAGTCAGTCAGGCGATGGCAAATGTGGTGGTGGTTTTGAAAAAAGAGTTCCTGCTGCTGACTTCCTTGTGCTGTGGTGGTGGTTTTGTTGTGCTGCTGCTGGAATTCCGGACTGGACTCCAGCGTCCATGTTCTGTGGAAAATATGGTGACAGAGGAAATGCTGGAAATTTACGGGCACCTTTGGTTTTGTGACAGCCCACAAATATTGTGAACGGGTAGTATTCAGATGCACATGTATCAGTTGACAGGTGTTGCTACTGAAGCTTGCTGGTAGAAGGACACAATCACGCTTATGAACTTCCATACGAGATTCATGGGGTCATCAGAAAATCGAAACGCATTTTCTCACACTTTTGGATGCTTGACCTGGAATGTTCGGGAAATTTGGAACCATGGCATTGCTCCGATCCGACCCGACCCAATTTCCGACCATGTTCCCAATCTACGGGCTCAAAGGCTCATTCACAGAAAACTAATTCACGCCATTCAGAGGTAGGTGTGAAATTACGGGTGGTGTGCGCTGTTGTTGAACAGTGAAAACTACACTTCTATCCGGCACAGTCTGTTGTTCGGTCTTGTCATGGGCAGTGTTAAAACGTCGCGGAGTTGACGCTAAGTGCGGTTCTAGATTCTGTTATGGGAACGCGAACAAAGAACAGTACAAGTCGCTGGTTGGTAGATGAGTTCGGTTTTCGTCTCACCCACACCTGCCAAGTGCCTTCGACGGGGTTCCTAGGTTTTGCAAAGAGTGTCTGGTGTGTTTCTCAGGCTTTACACCTATAGCCCTGTAATTTAATTGATCCCGGGGGACTGGCTGGGCGTCCACAATTTGGCAAACTGGAGGCTCTTCTAGCGCGCATTTCGTAAAACGTTCCAGAAGATTGGACGAAACCGATCCCATGTGTGGGCCGGGCAACAGAGGGATTGCACGGATGATTTGTTCTAATGGCGGGTCATACTTTTTTGTTCTAGGCTCGTTGAACGTGGTTGAATACGTTAAACTACGTTTGGGAACGGTCTCTAACTTTAGCCACATTAGACCATTGCACACCAGGATAACCATTCAAAACGAACCTGGAACAAAAATTATGACCCGCCCTAGTCAACAGAAAGGGAAATTCTGCTGAGAAAACACTCTCCTTGCAGCTACATTGCAGGTTTGGTTGAACGGAGGAAAAAAAAAACAACCTATTCCTCGCATCCTGTTTTCTCAAACCCTAGATGGAGCGAAATGGCCGAAATGGCACGAGAAGTTTGTTGGAAAACCTGGGCTGGAGGTAGGGCTGGTCCTTCAGAAGGGACCCCGAACGGCGAAGAAGGAAACGATAACGACTGCACTTGCGGCCAAAACCGTACAAATAGCTTACTGTATTCGAGGGGTGTACACCTGATTCTCGTTTGGGTTTCCCCTACTCGGGTTGTGCTCTGGGCCTATAAACGTTTAACGAATTTCGCCCAGTTCGTTCAATTTCGGCAGGGTGTTGAGGTGCTTCTAAAAAACACAGGTTGTAACTCGTTTGTTTTTTCCAAAACACTGCTGGTGGGCCTGTGTTGTTGTTAGTTCCGCGTTTCGGGTTTATGTTTGTTTCTAGCCAAGAAACAAGAACAAACCGGGTCAACATGGTTTGTTTTGCGCCTAAGATTCATACTTTGGCGTTTTCTCGCCCAAATGCAAGTTGATCCACGTGCCTACACCATGGGTGTGTGAAGAAATGAGGAATGAAGAAGAGAGGAGGGGTTGCACTAGCAGCAGTTGGCATACATATAGGAAACCCTAATTGGGTTGTACTCGCTATAGAGTACCCCACTGCAGGCTAGACAATTATAACATTCTGACACACCCCCATAGCCAAAGTGGGGTGTAATCAGCACAGTGAGCAAGCAAGCATAGAGCAGGAGTTCACAATAGCGAGCAAAGCTAGAGTTAATCACAGCGGGCAAGTGAGGAGGAGGAGGAACTGTGGAGGGAGAGAAGATGGGAGGCAACGACTGAAGCTGCAGAGGCACGGGCACAGGAGCGGCTGACTCAGTGGCTACCGAAGCAAGGGCGACGGACTACTGGAGTAACTGGCTCCGCGGCTATAGACGAGCGGCAGGAGCAACGGACCCACTGGCGACTGGTGCAACAGGCTCACTGGCTACCGAAGCAAGGGCGACGGACTACAGGCGCTGCAGGCGACACAACAGCTACCTTCACACAACCTCCTCCAGCTGCCCCACACCCCTCGACACATACCCCCTGCTCAAACCCTAGTTCCACTCCCACAGGACCCCCCTTTTACACACCCCTTGCTGCACCCTAGGTTCACTCACACCCCACCCCCTGGCACCACTCCGTCGACTCCCACACACCCACCCCCCTCAGCGGCAGCTGCAGCAGTGGGAGACAGGGGAGGAGGAGGAGCAGGAGAGACCACACACCCGCCACCCCCTACTCGCCACCCCCAGACCCTAACACAGGGCAGGGCGGGACGGCGGGTAGGGAGGTTACGGGGGGGGGGGGGGGGGAGGGGGGGGGCCGACGCGCGGCCTCCCAGGGCGCCAAAACAGGCGGCAGAAGGGGCGACGCTCGCCCCCCCCCCCCAGGTCGCGGCCCCCCAGGGAGCCGCGACGGGCGACGGGAAAAGAGGGGGGGGGGGGCGGTGCACGGGCCTCCGGTGCGCCGCGACAGGCGACGGAGCATGGCCGGGGCGGGGCCGGGGCAGGGTCGAGGCAGGGCCGAAAGGGGCGGCGACGGGGCCGCAAGTGGCGGCGACGGGGCCGCTGGAGGCGGCGACGGGGCCGATAGGGGCGGCGACGGGGCC